AAGTGCCGCGAAACGTCCTTCGTTTCGATTTGAAAGTTCGGTGGCTCTTCTCGTAGGTTTTTCCCATGTTGCCAACTGTAAGTAGGTACCTACTATGGTTTACCCTATAAACAAGAAAGTTAGTTGATATTGTGCAGTTTGCGCATTCGCACATCTGATTTTTACAATATGCAATATGCTTGTCTTTATTAGAAGCGTCTGATGTGGTTAAAATTTAAAAAAATGTTCTATAAATAGGAAAGTTGACATTGCGCAATGGTCAAGATTTTTCCTGGGTCAGTTGCCAGAGCTACCGAATGCAAAGAGAACGAACGAAATATCTCGAAAACTGTAGGAGTAGCTAAAAAAAAGGACACATGCATTTAACTCTTGGGCAATTTCACGTAGAAATATGCACGCAACGTTGTCTAGTCTAATTGAAGGTCTTCACGAAAGGAAAGGTTTTCCATTAACTTACACCCCCTCCGACCTCTCGTAAGCGAGATCGGTCATAATTCTTAGTTTAGATGTAGAACAAAGTGTCATAAAAGGGTGAAAGGTAAAATGGTTCATCTGGACCATACATCAGTTGGCGGACTGAACACTTCAAATGCAAATATATCGAAAATTGGATGTCAGAAGGACGTATTCGAAATGGGGCATTTATTGATCTGACCATAAAAGAATTGACTCTTTGATCTGGGCCATGCGCCTTAATCAGTGCCGGAAAAGGGTAGGTACTTTGGAACAGTTACAGGTGTTCGCTTTAGACTTTAAAAATGTATTGTTAAATTTAAAAAATTGCCGTTATACGAATTAAAGAGAACGGAACTAATATGCGAGAAAATGATACGCGTGAAGATAAGAACGAGTGTTCAAGCAAATAAAAGTTGAAAAGCTACAGTGTTGTTGGTTCTAAAAATCGTCGCACGGAGCATGAAGGACGCACTCTCTGCCATACCTTCACATGTATAAAAAATAGCCGGAGCTGCGTGCGCGTTAAAGCAATTTCGGTTTTTTAATTAGAGAAAATTGGGTGGGAGACAGGCATTCGTCGCTGAACTTTTAAAGCAAAACTATACAAGTCGAGAGCGACATTTGTAGAGCGCATAACATTTATTTTCAATTAAATTACTAGTTCGTGTAATCGAAGAATACAAAAGAACTGTTAGCTTCGGTATCGTACGTGATGGTTTAGTGCAAAAGTTGAAGGTAATTACCAGAATTCATCGAGAAAAACTGTGCCGCCATTTATGTCGGGGGACGGGGGTGCTTTTTAAGTTCGTGGCGAGTTGCCATCATATACAAGTAACCTAATAATGCGCTGCTTCCTGTTCCTCCAAGCTTGATCTGTTCCGTTTATGTGTAGCGCGAGTCGAAACTACGAAAGCGCGGTGGCTGAATTGCAAAACGTTTACCAATCAAATTTGTGTACCTATTCTGTTTATACTAGTTGCTAATAAGATTTTGAATAAAGTGGCAACCGGTGGTAAAAACGTTAAAGACAATGAATTCGTCCTTTGTTGTTGTATGGGTGATATTTGATTTGACGTACTGCGGAACATTGGTAAATTATTCCAGTGAATAAACCCAGTTTTAACTATATATTAATATATTGCGAGAAATCTAAAGCACAGTTTGTTCCTGATTCAAATTCGTCAATCATCGTTCGAAATTAATTTTTAACGTGTAACCAAATTTTACCTGGCTGTGGCTTTTTTAAAGTAGAGAATCGGTCAATTGGGAAAAATTTGTGACTCCGCGATAAATGTACCTACGTTATTTTGATTTGTTGTATTGTATAACCATCCTGAGGAGGTCGACCCACGGGGGGGAACTCCAAACCAAAGTATTGGCAATTTCTTCGTTCAGTAATATTTCTGTGGGGTTATAATTTTTTCAGCATCCAGAAGTGTGGAAATGTATTTTGAATAGAATTTTGTACCAAGTGTTTGATCAGTTCGAATATTAAAAAATCTAGATAATTAATTAGATTGGAAATCTGATCTCGATATGGGAATTGAAACTTTACGTTGTATTACGTGAAGGAACAAGGAAAACTACTGGAGCTGCAACGATATTATTTTCAGTAATATATTCGAACAAGTCCATTTATGCGAGTCTTAATTGAAAGTGGTCAAACCAGAGCATCAGGTTTTAATTTTCAGATTATAAGTGGAGATAAAGAATTAGTTTTCCACAAGGTAAGAATCATGAACAATTTATTATTTATTATTACTGAGCTAGCCGTGGCATAGGTACCTACTTTATATTACATTACATTAGGTACAAGAATTAATTGGTACAGTAAAATTTTTCCAGTGCCATGTAGAGAATAAAATTCGTTTTCTTCAAAAGTGGTTCTACAACATGTATTATACTATAACAGTTTCACTATTGCTCATTTTGCGATTATTGACTATTAAAATAACTGTTCAAAATGCGGACAGTCAAAATACGAATTATAGGTACTATTACGTACCTACCATTACCTATTTTGTTTTATTTCTCTACCTACAATATACTTCAGGTCATAGGGTTGTTTACAGGTATCGTTCTTACTTACAGTCACTTGGGATTCTTGCACTTGTTTAGTCGCCTCTTACGACACGCAGTGCATCTGCGGTAGGGTTATCCTTTCCCGACCCTACACGGATATATAACAAATCCAAAAGGTTAAAATGACAAAACAAATATATAAGGTTTGTATAGGTAGCAAAAACGTATTCGGTCGAGTGCAGATCATGTGCATCACTTGCCACGCTCTAGAAAAACCGTTTTGGTAAGGGCTATAAAACTGACACCAGCTTAAAAAGTTTGGAATCTCTTGAAACGCTGTTCACCTGTTTAGATTTCTCTGCAAAAGCATGCAAATGTTTTCCATAGCGTTCTAGCACCTTTTCAGAACGTTCTAGTACCTTGGGTTTTTTTCAAAGCTGTCTACTCTCTTTAGATCGTCGCTCTGGAAAGAGTATTATCAAAGAGTATACAACGAAACTCTTTGGTATTAGATTCCATAAAGATCTAGAATAGAATCCATAAAGCACTAGAAGACTCTCGAAAGACTTGGCATGGAATTGAAAGGATTTCCAAAGCAATTTTAGGCGTTTTCCAGAGATGTATAACCGTTCTTTCGCGGCATAATGAGCGCTCCCCAGATCATTCTATGCCCTTTCCAAGCCAATCAGTAGCTTTCCAATGTCTCCTATTCCCTTTTAATATTTCGATGTGCCTTTTCCAGACTCGCCTCATTCAGGAAAAGACATAAAAAGCTTATTATAAGACCTTATGGAATGCGGTTAATGAAGCAACGACGTTGACAGCTGCTCAACTGGGGCCTGTGGGTGAAATTATCACCAGAGTCTCATACAACTTCAGGAAATCTGTTCATTGAAACTCCCAGTAGGACATTAATAAAGCACTAACATTATAGTAAAGTCAGTCTCCGATGCCAGAATGGCCTTTGCCCAAATTTGGGTGCATAAGTTTTGTACATGGATTGAGTCGGTACAGCAGTCTTAAATACAAAAGAAACAAGTTTATGCAAACATAAATGACGAGAGCGTATTTTCCTCCTAATAATATTAATGCTATAGGACCAGGAAAAAATACCGATAGGCACGAGATCCTTACCGCATTCTCTTTCAAATGAGCCACCTATTATCGAAGTCTATATAGTTTAATGAAACATAGTGGAGCGTATACAAATTTTGAAATGGGCATTAGTTTTACTTTTATTCGTAGTGTCTACATATGGAACTTTTTATAAATACTTTCGTAAATAGCATTGCGCATTGTCTACATTAGAAATTTCATTGAATACCTTCATAAATAAAACATACAGCATGCGTTAACATTAACAGTAATTTTGAAACCGCTATTAGTTTTAGTTTCATTCAAGGTGGCTACGTATGATGTTTCGTTTAATTGCTTTCGTAAATAAGAAAGTTGCCATTGCGCATGCGCAAAACCGAATTTTAAAACTGGTGTTAGATTTGTTGTATTCCAAGTGCCTATATATTAAATTTCATTTAAATGCTTCAGTAAATAAAGAAGTTGGCAATGCGCATGCGCAAAACCAAATTTTGCAACTGGTAGATTTGTCTTTATACCAAATGCCTATGTATAAACTTTCATTTAAATGCCTTCATAAATAAGAAAGTCGGCATTGCGCATGCACAAAACAACATTTTGAAAATGTCGTCAATTTTACTTATATTCGTAGTGTTTACATTATAAAGTTTCATTTAAATATCTTCATAAATAAACAAGTTAGCATCGCACGAGTTAAATCAAATTTTTTGACACTGCGCATGCGCAAAACCAAAAAATATGGGTATGCACGGAATCCTTGAACCAATCCCTTTCAAATGAGTCCTATATCGCCAAAATCGGTTCAGTGGTTTAGAAGGAGTATGTACGTGTGACGGACAGACGGACGTCAAAGTGCAGCCAATGGCAATTTTGCACTTTGAGGAAAATAGGCTAAAAATAAAAATCAAAGATGCTGCTTTCTATTAAACTTTTAATAATTTATTTAATAACTTTCTTACAAACAACCCAAAAACTATAAATACAATTTCAAACAACTAATACACATAAATACATAGTAATAAATAAAAATTAAAATTCTTATAACTATATACAAATAACAGATCATCTTTTTTTACAGTTATTTAACATCGATACACCAATACGAAGTGTAAGTGAATAATTTACAACTTCCGACTGCAAACATTGCAAATTACAAACACATATCACAGTCCTGCCTAATTGGTTGATATTCAAATCAAATCGACAAATTTTAGGAATGCACAGAAATTAAATGCAAAAAAAGAGTTTATAACAATTTTAGTGCTAGACTTTCAAATTAGGACGTTATTAATAAATACTGCTAAACGATCTCCAAATTAAACAATTAAAAAAATAAATATTTCCCCCCACGATTTTTTTCTTACTCCACACAAACAATTTCGGTAAGTGAAAGTCATCGATCACATCTGAAGGCAACATTTAACTACTACGGGGCATAAATATTTATTAGAAAAATACTCAAATATTGAACAGACATAGCACCGTAAGTAAAATGAGTCCAAACGAGGATAAAGGTACCACTGGTCACGAACAGCGACCACTTTAGCCAAAATCAGAGCTCGTCGCGAACAAATTTTTTCTTATCTACGCTAATTTGGACGTCATCGGTCGGTATAAAATGTAGCCTATTCAAATACAATTCAATACTTGACGCGTCATCAGATGAATGCGCTAATAACATGTTAATGTTACGTAACTGCTGCAATCTGTAGAGCAGTTTCTTCTTGCTCAGTAGATCGGCTCGCCGCCACGCGCGCAGCGTATTATCTATAACGAACAGGTTCTCCTTTCGAACTGAAGCCACACACTGAAGTTTTTCGTCTTCAAACTGCAAAAAAATGAGCTTATTTCTAACATAATTTTCGACTCCTGAGTGAATACTGTTCGTCCGCCTGTGAGAGAACTGAGACTTCGTAGGCAATTGCAGTTTTTATTAGATTGTAACATTTAGGAAAGAAAGAAACTATTAAGGTCCCATTTAATGTAACATTGTTTGATAACGAGCCTCTATCTACACAGAAAATTGTAATTACAGTTTAGTGAAAATGCATAATCTAAATATAGAAACGCAACGATAACCTTGTGTAAATATGAATGTTGCATTTCCGAAAAGAAAACAAGAAAATTGAAAATATTCACGGCGTAACATCCACTAGAATTCTGTAGCCGGTCCGTGCACAGTACAGCTGAAGAACTATTCTCATTGATTGAACGCGTTCTGTCGTTAATAGAAATGAACTAGTAATGTCTTTATTTAATTACAACTTTATGAACAGAATTAAGCTCAAGTGCTATTTAATTTTGTATACCTATGGAAAGGCGATGTACCCACCTACTTGCAATTTTGCATCAAAGTTGGTGTCGGTGGACACTGATGATTAGAATTTAGACTCGCGCCTGAAAATTCTTAATATATTAACGTATTCCAGTTTGATTTGTTAGGCAAAGGAGACGGCTCACCAAATTCTTTGCGAGTATTGCGCACTCGTCCAAATCAGATCAGACAAACTTTAGAGTCTCAAACGTGGAGTGGCTTGAATGAAGCTGGGGGCGAGCGACGAATTTTGATTTTACCATTTTAAGTTTGAGTCAAAAAGAGCACATGAACGCCTATGTAGATCGAAAGTGCTTAAAATGTCAATTCTGAGTATCAAAACTGCATTTTACTGCGACTGCAATAAAATTGGCGACTAAATGAAGATTTTGCACAAATTTAGATCTCATTCCTAAGTCAGCGAAGGATCAACCAGTGCCAAGATTGGTCTCTCACACGGACGGTAGGACGGACAAAACCACTAATCGCGCAATTTTCATAATGTTTGCAATTGCGCGTCGAGCACAACCTTACCTTCGTTTGTTTACAGAGAGTCCACATCACGTGCAGTTTCAAACTGGGATTCACATTCACTAAAATAAAACTAATCAAATTAGGTACCGTCACCGAAATGTCTCTCGGGAAAATTCTGCTTTCCGATTTCCTGCAATGTCTAAACGTTTTTAACTGGCATTTAACTTGGGAACACTTACCGCTTCATGGGGAACAGAATGACCGTCGGATAACTGTCTAGCGTAAACGCCCACGGTAGAATGTTCAAATCTCCGTCCAGTCGGACGAACTGTAACGAGGTCACCCCCTTCAACATTTTGGCAACAGTGAGAAGAGTATATGAGATTCCGCTGCAAAATGAACATTGCTTCGAGTAGTAAAAAACGATCACAGCCTTATTATCCTGCATTACAATAGGAAAAAATGTATCGGTATTTAATTCTAGTATTGTTGATTTCCGTCTTTGGTCTATGCATTTACGTCTACTTCTAGGATTGAGGGTCGTTTCCGAGTCGAGAGCGCGAGGCAAACTGCTACTAGTAAAATTAACAATGAATTCACGAAGAGTTCGATCATTCACTGGTCCGTATAAGATGTGGTGTGCTTCCATCTGCATTATGAGCAAATTAATTAACGAGTTTGTTTTTGTAACGTACCTTTTGGTTAATTATAACGGCTGCAGTTCTGTCTTCAGCCTGTGAGATGTCTATACCAAGCCTTTCCGCAAAGTGATAATATCGCAGGGAATCCAAAGCAATTAGTGCCATGCTCGTGTTCAATTTGCAAGCCAGTCCGCTAACATTTAACCTCGCCTCTTCGGTATCTCGAACAGATTCGCTTAGAAGAACCGGGTGGAACTGTCGCGCCAATTGCGCAATGCGGCAGTTTTCTGTTTTCCACCTCCTTATAAGGTTGCCAGCCGATCTTGGATCTAAAGGTGATTCTTTGAAGCGACTCGTCGCGATTGTTCGCGTACTTACCTTCGTCGTAACAATTTTCATTTTTTGCTTGATAATTTGTAGTCGAGTGGCCGTTACAGTTTTCAAAATGATGGCATTCTAATTCCAGTCTTTCATTTAATATATTGACGGGATCGCAGTCGAAGCATTTCTCTGGAATCACCTTTGAATTTGCTAAGCAACAAGAGTGATTTGCCCATTTTTGCGGAAGTGTATATGTGACTACGGAGGGATATCTTTTTACGTGCGGTACAGTAGTCTTCAAGGAACATGTCTTCATCAACTCGGAATATTTGTGGCGATTATCTGAAATAATGTGGTCTACTTCAATACTGGAGAATGGAATTTCTGTGAAGTATATCGATGGCATGGTAGATATCCTCATTAATATCTAAAAATGTTTCGTTTTGAAACTATGCTTAAAACTTGCATTTCTTTTTGAATTTTCTCCTAGAGAACCATAACACCTATCAAGAAGGATGACACCTTTAGAAAGGATATGTGTATGGTCAGTGGAGTACTTCTGCATGGCCAAGGGGGGCGTTTTTTAAATGACAACCGCTACTTTTCATTACATTTTTCAAGAGTGCACTTTTTCCGATATAGCAGTATAAAAAACGTATTATATTATATTACATTAGAATTTTTATAATTTCTTCTCGTACATTTCCGGCATCTCTACAAATCCCAATATTGACCTAAACTAAAATTGTAGAAGACTCAGTCAGTGGCTTCGATCAACTCAAGAATTACAAAAAATTTACTACCTACGCAAACTTTATCAAATGTTGTAAAGGAAAAGAAAAATCTGGCACGAGCAGATGATACGTCTATGCGAGCCGCACAATGGGTTCGGATAAACACTCAATTGAATTGATTGACGAAGATAAAATTTTATTTCGAAACAAAATGAAAATTGTACCCCGTACGCACATGGTCGATTGAAAAATCTTACTTTGTTTTTTATTATCCAAATAATCTGGTCATTAAGGTTTTTGCAATAAAACAGGCGCACTTACATCAACACAAACGGCCAGCGTTCCGAATTTCACTTTTGTTTAACACGCAAAGTTGATGACAAACGAACTGGCATGTTGAATACGATGATGAAACTTATCGGTAGCTGCTCGGACGGTACAAATTTTAATTTTTAACAAAAGAAATAACCTCAACAGGAGACTAGCACTGCTTACTTTACTTCAACTTGACAAACCTTTGTCCGTAAGACGGACAATACGCGTTGAACTTTGTAACAACTTCAGTTAACTTTCTTCTGTACAGAAATATTAAGAAAATAACGAACAACCTCTTCAATCAATCAAATAGGGCGAAACGCGCGAATAAGAAGTATAGCCTAAAAAAACGTGTACGCTTTCCAACCATCGCGAACCCGCTACCAGCAGCATCCTGCATGCAGTACTTAACGAAACACCACCTCCACCATACAATAAACTCCTTCCTCCGGTATTAACAAAAAGCCAATTATAATTAGGTTAGATAACGCCGGCTGTGAAGGAACGCGTTCCCACTTGCGCCGAACTAACGCGCATATCTGCATCACCGTTATCTCTTCTAACAGCGATAAGAAGGAGTACGATAATTAAATCTCCAACGCCAACAAACCCTCAAACAAGATGTGCCTACATTTAAACACCCAATTTCACGTTTTACAATTAAATACACAAATCTAAATAAAGAATTTATAATAGCGATAAAATTCAAACAAAAAATGATACACTTGCTAACAAATCGCAAATACGGAAATACAAATTCAAGTAAAATAAACCAACTTTGTGCTTATTCGTAACTAGTAACTAACCTCCCCTCCCCCCTCTACCCCGCGATATGTGTTTTGTTGCTTTCAGGGGAATTTGCCGTAATTTTGTTCGTGTTTTTCCGAAGTGACTCCGTCCGATTCCTGGAGCTGCCGTTTACTCCGATTGAGTGAACACCCGAGGCTTCGGAGACCGACCCGCCGCTCAGCTACGACCAGGTGTGAGGCCATGCGCTTGGTGGCGCTCGAGTACTCTCGTCTGTCCGTTCGTTACGCCGACAGAACAGGTTGCTGTCGAGTGCTGCTACTATACCTATTATTGACTATAATTTGTATATTTATTTGCTTTTAAAGTAAATGGTAATTATTATTCCGCTAAAACGTTATTAAAAATTTGCAACAAATTTACAAACTTGTCAACTATGAACAGTGGTGCGCGTCTGTATTTAATGCAGCCGCTAACGAAAAAACATGTAAATAAATTTGATATTATTACAAAGAAAAACTAACATTTCCATTGAAAAAGGGACCCTCCTAGTTCTGTAGACGCACGCCACTGTAAATAATTTGTACGCATGTAGATTTACAGTAGGTGCTCAACAGTCCGGCACACCCATTAGTTCGGCATTTCGCGACTTAGCTGACCCACTGTGCCGGATTATAGCGCGATTGAGCTTATTTGCAAAATGTTCTTTCGCGTTCAGTCCTGCCCTGACCTTGACAGCGAAACTATGTGTCTTATTGCCTTTGTTGGCGCTTGTCTGCGTAGAATGCTTAATAGCCGACCGCGCGTGTCGATCGCTTAGACAAGATGGCGGGCATAAACGTACTCTTCTGTAAAATGCACTAATCCGTCATAGGCGAAAAAGTGTGGGTACGGAATTCCTCAGCGCCTACTATATACTTAAAATTTGTTATATTTGATACAATAAATTGCTTTGACATAAGCATAACTAACAAAAGAATAACGCAAACTTGTGAAATCATAAAACTACTTTCCTTAATTTGAGTATTTCTATTAAATGTTGTTATGCAATATAATTTACTTTTCGATATCTAAAACGGTGTGGAGACGTACTCCACTGGTTGTGCAGAAACCAATTTTGGTACGAATGCAAATGTACTCTCTAATTTAAAAATTTTTTTAACTGTTGACAGCTACTTTACAATTTATTCAAGTAAAAAAAAACGAATTGTCCTTCGTGATCATAATACAAACGCACTGCAACGACATCATATAGGCAAAATGATAATTGAAAACGTAAAAAAAACACATGTCCAATTTTAACACACGAGTTTACCAAAATTTCAAATGTGTCCAGTGTGACTATGCAACAAATGATAACTAGGTAATTAACTTTATTGAGATACATGGGTCACCCATGATTTAATGTGTGCCCAGTGCAATTGTCACCAAACATAAATCCAGTCTTTAAAGAACATTAAGACAAGGATTTAAAATGTGGCCTGTGTGATTTTGTCACCAAGTACAAACACTGCATTTGTTAATACACAAGACCAAAAAATAAGAATTTCATATGCGCCTGGTGTGAACCAGAACATTGTACGCCCCTTTGTTATGTTCTAAGGAAATAACACGTGACACACCAGTGAAATGCCAGGAATGTCAACTGAAAAAACCGCAAACACCCTGTATAAGGTAGGTCTCGGAGTATTGTAAGTGTTGAAATTATAGGCAACACATCATACTGCAATTAATGTGAGAACGAAAAATTAGTGACAGTTTCAGGCCATTTGTTTACTTTGCCCTTGTCACTTATTTAAGCTTCTACCTACCTTTGCGCTTAACACTGACACGTAGGGCATGCAGCTGTACATGAAGCATATTCCCACAATTGTAATATTCCAATCCAACCTCGTGCAACTGTAAGCATAATTTCAAAATGACTAACTCAAGCACATTCCATACGTACCAAATCATAGTAATCCACAAAGGAATTCAGTGGATTTCTAGGTGTAAATAAAATCAATGCAGGGCCCGGATGAAGAAAGGACGATAACGTCAAACTTTTGCTGCCCAAAGGCGTAATCCACGCACTTACTTGATGTAAATTTGTTACAATCCATGTCAATAACGAGGTAGATTTCCAATCATCGCTGGCATAAAGCTAGATCTGAATGTAAGTCACGAATTGAGAGCAAAATTGCACTTATTACCAAAGTTTCGTTCCACATGTGCAACGCCATCGACGGTGAATTCTCAGTGCAATATTCATTGTTTAAATCCGAAATGACAGCAAAAACTGTTTCCTGTATGGGATCTTTCTCTAAAAAACGCAGCGCTGTGTTGTAAAAAATGGCATAGTCGATACTTCCAGGTTTTGCATTCACACAACCGACAATCACCGCCTATAAAATAATGGAAAAGTGCAAAAAACAATTGCAACAGATATTAAACATACATCATGGTTACTGAGTAAGTCGTCCACATCACTCTCGTCATAAATCCTAAGCAAAGGTCGTGTGAGAGACTTTAAAAACTTCACCATGTAATGGGCGGTATTGGGGCCTTTATACTGTATGCCTTTGCCATGAGTAGGGTACGCAATTAGCACAGGCCAACTGTACGCCTTACTGTACTGCTTACGACACTCACTCCCTGGTTGCCAACAATTAATTGCCGCAAACGAGACTTCATCACCCATATATCGTGCTGCTAAATCAAACTGGGCACGCACTGCTTGACTTTCAGCATCCCAGGGCGCGTAAAACATAACAAATGCGATATCCGATTCTCGTGCCTTATCAATCGCTTCACTCAATTCCCCGTGATACCAGTCGATCACGATGGAATCATGTGGAAAAAATGGAAATGAGGCCGGACTTTTCGATATTTTGGGTGCGCTAAAAATTCAACATCAAGTCTCGAGTACACGACTAGTATACTTACTCGTTCATTAACGCAGCGTAAGTTATAGCCATAAGTGAAACAATAAGCAACTCTTTCAGTACTAAATACATTTTAAATAAAAATTGTCGCACTTTTGGACGTTTAATAAAGCACGTCGTCGATTCGTCTGTAAACAATTCTGTCTTATCCTGCTCGGCTTCGACGCTATTATAATCTGCATCTTTATCGCCAATTAAAATCTTATCTGTAGGTGAGGAAACCAAGGAGTTTGATTGCACCTGCTGGTTGGACAATTCTGACATGCCAGTTCGACTTCATTCCATGAGATTACGAAACTCAATAGTTACTCTAATGGGTATTCGATGCGGTTGATGCAATACAATCGTAAAATGATTTGATTGGGATTAATTAAATAATAAACATTTTGATTGAACTTTGTAAATAAATACCTTATGATGATCACCACGTCTACCCATTTTCCATTGGTTCATTTGATCGTTGTCAAACTGTTTGAACTACTCATTCGTATCTTTGATCTACTCCGATACGAATTATCTAAGTTTGAACACTCCAAGCACGCGTCCGTAATCATAATTTGACGTTATTTTCGATGAGTTTAGTTTACAATAGTCAATAATATTGGTCGATTTTATTATCTTAACAATAACATATTTCCTGTTGACTGGCCCTCGAATGTCAGTACTTTGAATGAACAGACATTTTTCCACGTCGTTTTAAATTATCGTGTATTCAAACCTCTGAACATCTAGAATTTCGGTTGTGTACTCGGAAGTACTACACGCGCAAAATAGGCAGTATTTGTTTAAAATAAGGTAAATTAGGCCCTAAAGCTTGAAATAATCTGGTTGTATGAAACCTGAACATCAAATTCCCCAAAAGTTTTATTTAACACTTTCGCTTTGAAACCTTGTACACAAAACTCTCTTCTTTTCTTTTAAATCACCAGTAGTGGTTCTATGACGATTGACATTGGTGAAAGGCAGCTCGGATACAACCTTTAAAATTGACGAAACACCTCCTCTTCTATGTCTCGTAACTAAATGCGTCAACATTAACTTTGGACAGCAATAGAATTATCGGAAAACTATCCCTGAATCCCTGTATCACTTCTTAATCTTAGTGACAAAACAAGATTTCGAAACACCGGCTGACTGCCAGAAAAGTTCGTATTTGAAATTTACACGCAACTGACTGTTACGTACGCTAAGTCAAATGATCCGAGACCGCCGCGGCGTATATCGGCGCGCAAACCTTTTAAGTCCTAACCATCTCCATCTCATTTTCCACCTTCGGTGAGAGGCGACGCAAGGTGAGTACTTGTTTACAACGCATTTCCCTATCTACCAACTTTGCACATGTGTCATCGCTTTAACTCAGTTAAATTTTACTTTGATAGTTGGCCCGGGGTATTTTGGAGCTTAGCATCCTGGGGTATTTCAGTAGTTGGCCCGGTGATACTTGTATGCTGGACCCGTCATCTTGGATGCTGAACCCGCATAGTCATTTGGGCTACGGGGGTTTTAACAATTTTATAGGTCGAAGTCAATTTGGTGATTGCTGGAAAAAAATTTTTTTTATTGCCATTGAGATGATCCGTGAAATAGAACGTGTAACCATTTGAGCTACGAAGGCTTTAACAATTTTATAGTGCGAATCCAAACGTGAACGCGAATCCGAACGTGAACCCAAATGAGAATGAAAACGCTAGCCTTCAATTTCAAATATTGTGGGTTCGAACCAAAAAACGGCAGTTAGAACTCATTAAAACAACCAACTTTCCTTATTTCCAATTTTTAATTTAGTGTCCCTAATTTTAGATGGTGTAGGGATTTTATAAAAGTTTTGCTTTCAAAAATCGATGGGGTGGTTTTCAAAACATATTTTTTTTTAAATTTTAATTGATCGCTATTTTATTATTTCAAAACATAAAAAATAAATATAAATACAAATGTTTTAGAGAGCTGAAATATAGAAATTTTTTGTTTTTTTTTCAATAGTCCTTAAAATAAGGGAGTTGAGGATTTTTCGAAAAACAAGAGAACGCCAATAACTTCGAACCGGTACACAAAATCAAAAATTGGAACTAACAAAAGCCGTTTGTTTAATGAGTTCCGTTTTTAGATGTAACGCCTTGGTATTAACACCCTGTATACACAAAGTTGGTTATAGTCAAGGTTATTTTGGGAACAATGAGTCCGGTAAGCAGGTACCCAAATTCTGAGAACAGGTTAAACGTACAGAACGTGATTCATTGGTGCAACAAAGTCTTTTGTGAGAAATTGGATGGAAAATTACAGGGCCTTGAAAGTCAAATCAAACTAAAGACAGAATATGTGGAAACTAAAGAGTTTTTATTAGCAGAATCTCGCCCGCGTGATATATAACTTGCCCCGCGTTCAGGGTTTCGAATCTACAATTCAATGTCGATGTCGATCACGGATTTAGGTATCATAACTCATTTAGTTATAGTTTTTGCCACCCCGTGACCGCTTCTTTCATGAAGAGAGAAATCATTGGCGGTCAATTGGTTGGTGGTCTGCTATTGTGTTGTCGTTGGATGTTAACATGAACCTCCGTTGGTAATAGAAAACGACTCGCCAATCCTCTTGCACACTCAAAGCAACCTGAGCCGCCATCAATAAGTCACTAAAATGTAAACATTTCATGACAAAAATTATTCCACATATCCAAATTGCAGATATATAAAAATCTTGTATTAAATGTATATATACAAATTATAAAATTATTCAATGCACTATTATTTCCATTCGTTTCCATCTTAAAGTTAGAAGTTTCATAACTTTTCAAACACTTTGCACTGTCTTATCAAAAAATCTGTAAGATCGAGCTGTCCTTGAAATTGGAGATTCTGCTCATTAGCAAGATGTAGCAACGCGACAAACGCGAGAGGACAACTCAATTCTTGCCGCATTTTTTCATTAATTCGGTCAGGCAGATGAGTATACAAATTGGAGAACGTTGAATGCAAAACCTCCCTCTTGTACATATCATCATCTGGAATCTGAAATGGAGAATGTAACAACTTTGTATTGATAATTGGAGTGGTTACATTTTCGTTTGATGTTTTGCTGACCAGATTTTTCCAAACTGCGGTTTTTAATTTTCTCATATCCATTTTCTTCGCTTGCAGCGCGTACGGAACGTAAATTTTGGGTATCTAAAATAAGTCATTTAAGATTCATTCGGGGCGTCCACCCGTTTGCTATACCAATTCGGGTGCGTCAATAAGATTCTCGCCGTGACAGTTCTGATGTGCGGCCGGCGGTAGTTCCTCCTCGTGCATCACATCATAGTCAGCGTCATCATCACCACCCGCCTAAAAGTCACTTGTAGCATTCATATCTTCGCTTTATGTTATATTATGAACCAACCAATAGGAGACATTACAGGGTTTTTATGCATACGCATTTGCGGGAATTCTTTTAATGTTTAGTTTAAATACAGAGATGTACTTTTGCAACAATGCATGGTTAATACTCCCAAAACGCACAGTAGAGATCTGTACTTTATAAAAAACTAGCAGAGCTACGTGACTTACACCATTTTGTGAGCAGTACTGTGAGTCATTTGGATTGTCGTAGTGGTAAGGTTGCACTTCGTTGTCAATTATGGTCTCTTGTTGCACTTTTTGTGTGGAAATGTTATTTGTAATTTGTAAAGGTTTCAGCATAAATGATGAGTTTTTGTAATTGAAATTTGTAAATATCTGAGGTAGTGTGCATCTAAAAGGTAGTTTATTTAGCAGACACTGAAGATGCTTGCCTAATATACTTACTTGTACGCACTCTCATCGGTTGCTCGTCGTTTGCATTTGTACAACTTCGTCTTGTCCAAACTTGATACTCCATTTAAAAAATCGATAAAACTCGGTTGTATTTTAACTTTTTTAACGGATTTCGCTACTTGCTTTTCTTGTTGTCCCGAAAATCGACTCACTACAAAAACATTGTTTTATTGAAAACTGTAATATATCATTCAGCTATATGACAGCCCCAAGAGATTTAAACGAAAACGAAGGACGCTACCTTTGCCATTGGCTAACCAAATATTTCCCCAATTTTACCAGTCTTGTATAGTTATGCGTACTGCAGATTTCCCCCCGTTTCGCTTTTTAACTGAAGTGACTTGCGATCTCTCCTCGCTCGTTGAAAGATTGAATCTCTCTATTTTTCAACTCTGTAATTACCGAGTAAATTTTTCACGCCTACAAATGGCGCATGGCCTCCAAAACGGCGATGTCTAAATCGTTTATTGGTTAGTACCTTTTGTACTACCAATCCCGAACGGTTTTTTGTTGTCTTTCCGCTCAATACAAAACCTGCACGCTCAGCAAGTTCCACAACACAAGTTTATCCCATGACGAGCTAAGAAATGTAATACTATATCCGTATTAAAAAGAACGTAATTTGATCCAACATGCAGACTTCGAAACGGTAAGGTATCGTTAATTAAAAAACCCAAAACATTGACAAATGACGCGCAAACAATACCCACGAGTTCATGATACTACCGTCGACCACTGGAAACATTAAAACTGCCATAATTTTTGGCCTAGACTTTCTGTGGGAAATTCAAGAATACATACAAATCTAAATGCACTTGTGAAACCATTTTTCTGTAAATGTAGACACATTGTTTTGTAAATCTACCCTTACAAAAACATTCACGACTGAAGAATACTTACTGTTGGGTCGAATGTGCTTCAATTTCCAATGACTCGGCCCGGCCCAAACCTGGGTGATACGTTTATTGCCCATCAACTTAATTGTAGCCGAATAAGAATAATCATCGGCATACAACTCATTATCGTTATCTCCCGGTTGGAAGTTCACAATCTGAGCGACAGTCTTATTTTGCAGCGCTATCTGCCCGATACCGTTGATTTCCTCTTCGTCTGTGCTGGCATAATTGTTTTCCGGTTCTGCAAGAGAAACGATCAGCTGAGGGAAAATCGCGGAACGGATAGCGCACCTGCGTTCGCGAAGAGGTCATGAACCGAACCGTCGAGTTCCGGAATTGGAATACCTTCCGCGTCATAAACCACGTCCTCGGTCACCGTGCGTTCGTAGTTGAGAAGTTCGTTCTCGTTTTCGGGATCCCACTCGTCAATTTCGAAATTCGTAAACTGCGCGCATATGTCCAGCTTTGATGGAATCGCCAACTCCATCGGAAACTTGTCGATCGTAAAGTCGGCGCTACCGTCGCAAGACGGCCACGACCTCTCATCACTCCTGTAATGGGTTTGTAAGTGGCTACAATCCAACAACCGATGATGTCGTGCTACATTTCATTATTTCTTCAAGAACCACCCCATGGGTAAAATAACGAGAATTCCCGTGTTCTTTACCTATTGTTTCAATAAGTTGAACTAAAACGAACTTGAGGAAAAAATCAAATATAGGACGGCCCATAAAAACCCATGTAAATTTCGCACGTGACGTGACGATGTGTAGCTCTCGCCTCGCATGTACTTACAGCAGCATAAATTTGTGACCGCTGAGGTGCATTGGAAGTTTGTTAGTAAATAAGTTATCGGTGGAACTGGCCTCGAGGTCCAACCGCGTTTGGAAGAACACCGATTCCAGCTTGGAGACATCGCTCAGTAACGACGTCGGATCTTTGGCAACGGTTATTTTTGGGTCAGTTAGTAACCGTTTTGGCCTTTTTTTCTTTTTCGGACGTTCGCCCTCCTTGTTTTCATCTCCACTTGATCGGTCCTCGTTATCGTCTACAGATACACATAATTATGAAGTTTTCAAAAAACATTTGCACTTTCAGAAAATTTTTGAAATATGAATTTTTCACAGGTCGTCAAGCCAAAAAATGAAATAAGAACAAACATTTTTTTACAATAATAAATCAGGGGTCCAAAATGTTGCATATGTCCCAACATTTACGTTTTTTTACACCTCAAAGTTGACAACTGTTTGCTACCGTTTTCACGGGTTTTGGCGAAAAAATTGCGTTAGTTTCATAATGAACAATTATAGAAGCATAACTTCCGCATCACTCCGATATTCAGCGCCAAAAGTTGCTAAACCCAAAAATACCATCGGGTTTACCAAGAAAAAGTAAAGCTGTGTGTCATATTGTGACTCAGTAGTGCTGTTTACAGGTCTATTTAAAACAATCAGTTATTTATTTACCCTGTAAAAATGGGAAACATTGTACATTCCTAAATAATTTTTTTAAATCTACAAATGTTTTTTGAAAAGTACAAACTCAAGTACCAACTGTAGTGATTCATTTTTCCGCTGATAGCTAACGAAATATTGTATTTTTTAAGAAGTAGCAGACCTTGCGAACTTCGTACCACTTATCAGTCAATGTCCCGCCATATGAGACATAGGTTGAGTTTCGGTCTCCACAACATTAAAAACCTTCGCGGGCATACGTAATTGACGCGTTTGGCCGTCTTGGCGCCATCTATTAGGTACATATTGCAATTTAAAATGGCGGAAAAATAGTTTTTTACGACTTTTTGTACAATTCTGTGGAAATTATCTTTTATACAAACCTTGTCCTGATAATAACAAACATAAAAAAATAATTGGCTAATTTGGTGCAGTCGCAGAGAAGCTACATACCGTCATGCTCTGGATTAACTCGCGCCATATTGCTAGCAAGTTTCAGCCCATCAGAATGAATGTCGTCAACTCGAATTCCATAGATTTTTGTACCCACGTCGAGCGAGGTGCCCGCTACCTGCAAGGACGCTTTCGCTTGTTCCTTAGACGAAAACACGGCACGCATGTAGTCGATTATTTTCAAACTCCACGCGTTCTTACTGCTAATTTTCTAAAGAAAATCACGTAATTTCTAATAAATCTCAATTAAAACGAATCGTACATTTTCAGCATACATCTTCAGGCATATCTGGAAGTGGTCACGAATTTCGTTCTCGTTAGTCGGCATCGGCGATTGCTGAACTCCAATGTTGGAGACACGTTTTTGAATATCTGCTTCATTGCGACGACTGGATCTCTCGAGATCGTCATCGACTGCGATCTTTCCCCAAAAAATGTGCATGAATACAAATAAATACGTGTGACAAATGAGTGACCATTGTCATGGCAATTGAGACTTACATGAGAAACGGAATGAGCCAAGTTGCTCAATCGTCGCATTGGAGATCCGACGTTCGTAACATCCCTTAACAGCACACTTTTTCGTAATTTATTCCGTTCTGGAGTTCGAACGCATACTGGCGTAGACGTCTGCAGCATTTTGAAATTCTGTTTCTAAAACTTGTAGTGTTTTGGAAGTTAAGGTTAGAAAGCTGCTAGGAATACTGTACTTTTTAGATACACAGAAAACTCAGGCACTTATTTTTAGGGCAACAGTTTATGTAATTTAATGATTATTGGTGACTGCTATGCAAATTAAAAGGCACAGAACATTAAAATTAACCCTTTTTAAATAACAAAACAACGCTTGACGTCAATAACCACATATAGATGGCGCCAATTCAAAGATTTAAATCCTTTAACGGTAGCATTTGTCAAATGTATACACAGTGTCGAAGAATTTTGTGTGATGATATACATGAGTAATTATTCCGAGACAATTTATATATATTTTCTAACAGACACTCCATGAATTCGGAGCAAAAAGGCCTTTTTGCACATTATGTTCTCCTGGTATAGAACTACATTGCTGATGTATATCGAAATTGACTACGTTCTCCTGGTATTTAAAAAAAATTTAGGACATTATTCTATCTCTATGAATAATAATTATTATTTTATTGCCCAATTATGGACAAACACAAGAAAGTAGTTAAACAGAACTAAAATCGGAAATACATCTGTAGTATACTTAACCTCCAGGTTCTACTTCACACTACAAGAACATGAAAATAAAATCAACCTAGCAACGTTAAAAAAATGGCTACGATAATATAAGGGCTGTTCCCTCCACAGAAATATACATACACAGACGACTAGAACGCCTATAGGTAAGATTTTAAAACACCCTGTGCAGTACAACTGTCTGTGGCTGCGCTGTCGTATTGATAGACGTTTGCACCACTTTTTCTAACCTCAAATAATAAAAATTTACAAGCTCTTTAAAATCGTTAAATTTGAATTATGAAAATATGCAAGGCTTCTTAGACAGCGAAAGTGATCCTTATAAAACAAGTTTTTCAATTTTTGTAGCAATTCTTTACATTAAAGTACTATACATCCTAGTCATGACTTTGTATATACTATCAAGATTCAATCAAATACTGGCCTAATTGCATCGCCAAACAATGCCCGAAGTATTATACTTATCACACTGGGATGCGGCGATGCCTGTCGTTGTTCCAAACAGTGTCGTTAAACTTTTAACAAATTACCAGATTTTAGCAATCAGGTTTCTTTACAACTGTTTACAAAAGGGTGTAAGTATCTTCGTCCACTCACATTTACTACACTTACATAGTTGTAACAGTATAGAGGTGCAATACTGAACGAGGAAACGGAGATGAACCCTTGCATTCAAGTTTCAGCATTTTTAAACGCTTTAAACAGTAGTATAAGCATTGAGGCTCCTGCAATTGTCTTATGTACTGCTCACACCTTCGGCATTTGGCATTACTACCTCAGCAACTACGCCGGGAACCGCGTCACAGTACTTTCAGAGCACAGTGAGTAGCATGACGGTTAACATTCAGTAGTCAAAGCAAATTTTAGATTGCGAACAAATTTTGCAAAGCAAATCTCTGGAAATTATTCTGTCGACTGTCGACAATTTAAAATGGCTAAAAGGTGCCGAGCTTGACTTTTTTACCGTGATAATAGACGATTTAGATGTCGTTATAAATAAGAAGTTTGTAAAACAGATTAAGGGGCAATATCACATAGGTATTACGACTAGGAACTTTTTGGTAAATGAAAGTGCTCGGTGAAGAACAGGTTGTAAGATTTGTTTTAGAAAGATCCCGGTCAGAAGCTTTTTCGAAATATGCTCCTTTGGGCAAATCCGGGTTGTGTTGGGAAATTAGAGGAGTTTTGCGAGTAAGACGGCCAGGCATTTGAAATTGAATTTAATCAAGATTGTTTTAGGGAAGATGACGAGCATTTGAACCAAAACCGTTACGCGTACGGCGAATACTGGTTGAGGTTGACTTGGTCATTTTGTGAGACTTTCAAGAAATCATCCAAAGATGATTTGGAAGTAGGATTTTTTATTCGGGTGCATGTTATTGAGATTTTTTTTTGTTTAAGCACAATCAGGCAGTAGTGAATAATTGGTTGTATGAAAATGATGTGTCATATTCCTCAGAGGAGGTGCCCAAACGGAGAGTTAGGAAACGTAAACGTGAATCGGTAACTAAGGAAGTGTCAAATTGTGAATTGAAGGATGATGTGAAAGATGTAACTCCTCCTCCCCCACAATTAAATGAAAGCACGCAGGTTCCTGTGAACTCCCAAGAAACCATTATTTATGATTATACTGATGATTGCCCTCTTTTAACATCGATCATTAACAATGATCATGTTGCGCCAGCATCTAAGCCAGAGGATACTGGTAATGCTGCAGTATCCAATGAACCAAAGACTGTAAGAACCGGCAGTAGTGAGGACCTACTGCTCTCCATAATGAGTGATGATTTCAACTACGATGGTGTTCGTGAGGAATATTCTCACAATCATTCCTCTTCGAAAGATAATGTTTTGTCTATGCTGTTTAGTGATAGCGAATAAGGGTATTTTAATGTAATTTTTGTTAATTTTTATCAATTTTAGGGGGGGGGGGGTATGATTGTTGTTTGCTTGTATAATTTTATAATGCTTAATTAAAGTAATATGCACAAATGGTGTACTTATTTGTATAAAAACCTTAAGATAGGTAGCTCAATGTTCTCTTCACAGTCACAGTGTATCCACCATGCAGTACTAGTGTCAGATCAGGAATCTTAATTTATACCAAAAAGAATTCGAAGGAAGTAGGAGTGGCAACAACGAATGGAAAAGAAGTCTGCTAACGATGCAATAATCTAATTTGAGGGTAATATTTTTAATTTACAAAATGTCTTAAATTTTTCATAATTAGTATGTGACGTCAAGTAATATCCCGCGTTCGCCATTCGTCGCAAAAACAGTGACGTCACGTAATATCGCGCGCCCTCGCCATCCGTGGTAAAAACGTAGACATCGCCATGATCGGAAAAACACACATCCCGCCCCGACAAAATATCTCTCAACATCCTCAACTGCACCATTTACAGACGAGACCGAGCGATAACAGCGGGGCAACCAGCAGCTGGGGGCACTGCCCTGATAGTTCATCGCCGAGTGCTCCATATAGGCCGATTAAATTTACGTTCCAATCCCCTAGAAGCTCATACCGTACCCGTACGAGTTCGACAATACCCCCGAGTACCAGGCAGTTCACCAACTGAAAAAAATGTAATGAACTTCTCCAGAGAAGCATCCCATCCGGAAACCTGGACATACGCATCCCGGCCGATCTAGAGGAAAAGGTACAGATCACAATCCGTTCTTGAGGTATAAGGGAATATACCCGATCACGATAAGAGGTCGAGGAGGAGGACTATGGTTGGTAGAAATTAATCCTTTCGTTGAGACCTTTCATTAGAGTACCATGAAGGATAAAACTAGTTCCACTCCCCTCCCCCTCGATCCCGTACTTTGATAATAGGACAGAAAGAAGCCCCCCCCCCCTCACAGGCCCCGTCGCTCACTGATCCCGAAATGTGTCGCACAGGAAAGTTATAGTTTGTGCAAACCAATTTATTTCGATGAGACCTTTCATGAGAATACCATGAATGGTAGAACATGTCCCCCCCCCCCCCATTTTCTAAACTTGGCACCACTAAAGGCATGCGTATGCGAAATGTTGCACTAATTGGTTGTCGTATGTAAAAGTTATGCACGTTTTACTTTTAAAAAGAGCATCTCAGAAAATAATTCGTGGGGTTGAGGGGGGGGGGGGCGCTTTTAGATAGCGAAATTTGATGAACGTCTGGCACACCTTCAAGGCCACCTACTGCAAAAAATTCCAGGACTCTAGGACTGTTCCCCTAGAAGCAGTTCGAAACGGCAAAAGTGGGCCCGGACGAACGGACGGGCAAAACGCAAACAATAGCACGTTTTTTAATTCTTAAAAAATGCGCAAGCACTGTCCTTTTGCCACCTTCGTTAGTTATGCATCGAATTGCACGAATTTCAAAACATGCATAGCCGACACCATACGATAGGCAATGCCGAAATTTGGGTTTGATAGATTCAAAATTCACGATGCCTTTTTGACTTCTTCATTCCCACTTATCAATCGAATTGCATGAAATTCAAACCGGATATATACAGTGTGTCCGAGATAAGGATGTCCATCATGGGGATCTTAGAAGTTATAAAAGATACGACGATGGTCAAATTATAGAAAAGTTGCGGAATTAAAGAGTTATTTTCATGCTTTAAAGAAAATTCCGATTATTTCAGATGGTATGCAAAAAAACCGAAGTTTATTTGAACAGATACAACAAATAAACTCTTTCTGATTGCTCCTTTTTGAGTGACATCGTCGAGAGATTTTCAATACAACGTTTCGTTTTCGGGGAAATCATCATCAACTTTATTTTTAGCGCATTTTTAAGAATTAAAAAAAGTGCTATTGTTTGTCCGTCTGTCCGGACCCACGTCTGCCATTTCGAACTATTTCTAGGGGAGTGGTCATCGAGTCCTGGAATTTTTTGCAGTAGGTAGCCTATACCTTGAAGGTGTGCCAGGCGTCCATCAAAAGCCCCCCCCCCCCCATACGACAACCAATTAGTCTCACAAAGGGCGATTGAGACGTCTGCAAGAAATATATCCATTGGTGATATCAAAACAAAACCTATTTCGCTTAAAAAAATGCGCTTTATCTGCACAAGAGTTGTGCACAATTTATACTTGTTTATAATTACGAATACAAAAAAACGCTACAAAAAAAACAAAAGTTGAAAACTGTTGGTTTAAACAGGATGGTGCACCCTTGCAGAAAGCCCTAATCGTATGAGAATAACTACATAACACAAATTTGCTAGAAAATGGAAAATTTGTGTGGTAGGTATTCTCGCACAATTCGGGCACACAAAATAACTACAATATATTTTGTTAAAGAATATTCTGTCCTGCGCCCATATGTCCTCGGGTCCTTATGCCCCCACACCCTTATGTCCCGCGCTTATTTGTCTCGCGCCCTTTTGTCCTCGCGGTCTTATGTCCGAGCGCCCTTGTGTCTCGTGCCCTTTCGGCGGTGCCCTTAATGTCCTAGACCGGGTGAAGGTTATAGCGTTTAGAACCCTAGACGAAAGTCCTTTTAGCGAGTTTTTGAAAAAGATAGCGTTGTTCGGTCGGTCGGCCTGTCGGTCGGTCGGCTGCAAAAGTTTTTTAAGTATAACTCTCGAAGCAATCATCGTAGAATGTTCGGGTTTGAAGTATTACCTTTGCGTCACAATTCTTTGCATGCAGACTATATTTCAGCGCTAATAAAACCTCGATCCTTCGCTCAAAAACGTGCTTAAGTAGATCGATGCATTGAGTTATTCTTTTATCAGTTTTATCACCTTTTATAGTAGCGTACTTATATAAAATGTTTAGAACTTCTACCGAACTTTCCTAATTCTTATAATTTGTTTAGAATCTTCTTAGTATAAGAGTAACTTTCCCTTGAAAGAAATGTTTAACTTTTTAAATAAAATTTGAATTCGTTATTTTGCAAAATTGGAAAAGGTCTAACCACTTGGGAAAATCTAAAGAAACGATGATTTTGAAGTTGATGGCACGATTTTCTCTCCTTACACTAATAGCTTTGAAGTGAAGGAGGGTTGCAGCGGGTAAAAGCGTGGTTGACCCCACCATCAAGTATCTTCAATTACTCGCCTGGGGTGGGAAAAACAATTTCTTTTGAAAAGCACAAATTTAAAGGTTTAATGAATGGCCCAAAATTGTACCAGATGCGTCTCGGAGACAGTAATTGGTGTCTTATCCGCTCTATCATTGCATTACCTAACAAAAGACACTTGAGACGGATAACCTTGCTAATGAAGTTACGCTTACAATGTCTAGCGTTAATTAAACAATTTTTATCGAGTTTGCACGATTTTATGATAACACAAGTACAAGATGATTGTGTCGATGATAAGTTGAACAACCGATTGTTTCTACCGTCACTGATTATTTATATGTGTGGATCTCATATGAGTGGATTGGGTTTAGAGAGAACCAAGCATGTTCCTTGAAGTTTTGAAAAAATGTCGGTATATGCAATATGTTGCTGCCATTACTGGTGAGTTTAAACTATATTTGTTACAATTCTGCACAGAAATGTTTGTTCCTGGATTGATATGAGTTCTAGAAGCAAAGATCCATGGTCAAGTCAACAGTTGGTAGACAAAAAAGCAATTTATGGAGTTGAGGATAAAGGGCGAATGCTCATTTTCTTCAAATCAGATTAAAACGGCTCATACCTTTGTTACTTACGATGTTCTCATTACGTAATTATGGAGAGATTGTAGGAGTTTCTTAATGATCGCACTTAAATATGCGACGCAAATTGAGTACCTACTCTCCACCAGCACCTATTCCTTCCCAAATACCTTCTTCTATGCAAAGTACTTTTTGAGCTTTTGGCGAAATTGGTCAGTCACACAACAGATAAAAGGTTGGGTGGAGAAGTGCGTTGAAAGTTATACATTTTGACATCTTCAGATAACATTTTACGTGCAACCCTTTTCTTTAGCTACACTCACCGCTGCATCTGCTGGAATGCAATCCACCTGGCCAAGCCCCTCTCTCCCAAAACTAACCTCGGATGATTCTCCCATAGGCGTTACTATCACATCTGTAAGTATGAGCACTCGTTTCTAAACTCTTTGAACAACAGCTTCAAGGCAGAAGGATCTTGGGTTGCATCCGTCTACGTCCTAAGCATGACTCTAAGCGCGCCATTCGCGAATATAGCTGCGGAGCGATTGGGGCCGAAATTCGCTTTGCTTTTATCAGCGTTGCCCACGTTCGCCGGATGGATTTTGTGCATTTATGCGAATTCGGCCGCGATGTTGATTGGGGGACGATGCGTCAGCGGGTTTGGTGGCGGGATTTCGGTCGTGGTAAGTAGTCGAAGATGCTTGGGAAATGTAACGCCAACCACCTTTTGCAGATTATTCCAATGTACATTGGAGAAATATCGTCCAAGGACATACGTGGGAGATTGGCAGCGCTTTTTAACATCGTAAAGTTGTGCGGAAACCTCTTTGTTTTGACAGTCGGTCCGTATGTGTCCTACGAAGCTTTGACATGGTCTTGTAGTGGACTGTCTGTAATTTTTCTTTTTACATTTGTCTTCATGCCCGAGTCTCCTTATTATCGCGCGAAGAAAGGGGACGAAGTGGGGGCTAAGCAAAACTTAGGTCGCTTGTCTGGCGTTGATAACGTTGACGAGCAGTTGCAGGCAATCAAGTCCACGATAGAGCATGACATGAACAACAAAGGAAGCAGCTTGGATTTGATCACCAAAAAAGAGTATCTGTTTCCCCTAGGAATACTGCTAGGTATTGAGTGGTCCTAGTCTCAAATGCTTATAGTGCACGGTTTCAGTTGTCAAGACAACACAGCAGATGTGTGGATTAGGTGCTGTTGAGTCATACTTTCAGACCATTATAGGTGCCAGTCATAGTAGCATCACCCCAGAGGTTTCTAGTATGATTGCAGGATCCGTTCAACTTCCTACAGGTAAAGCAAACAGCGCAAAATAGGATAACTAACATTTAGTTGTAGCAATTCTCGCCATGATCCTAGTGGAGAAATTAGGTAGGAAGGTTCTGTTTTTGATGTCAGGAATTGCGTGTGGCTTAACTCTTACTGCTGAAGGCGTATTCTTTTACATACAGAACGAGATGCATGGCGACTTGTCTAGTATCAGCTGGCTGCCTACTACCGCCCTAATACTCTACTTAATTATGAATTCCCTTGGTCTGTCAACCGTCCCATATATTTTGATGAGCGAAATGTTTTCGACCAACATGAAGGCGGCCGCCCTTTCGGTTACGATGGGATACGGTGGAGTTACGGCGTTTATCGTCACCAAGTTTTTTATGCCCATTTCGGAAACCTTGGGCATGCACGCCACGTTTTGGATTTTCGCGGGTTTTTGCTTCGTCGGCGTACTCTGCACATACTTCGCTCTACCTGAAACGAAGGGACGGACATTTGATGAGATCCAAAGCGAATTAAAAGAACGCGGCAAATCTCTCACATGTTGCCGACAATAGACTAACCGAAACCTCTGAATATCCTATTTATATTCAAAGCCGAAACTAAGTTATAGAGTAAAGGGTAAGGAAGCAAGTCTAAATAGGACATAAAAGTTAAATTGGTCAGACGTTGATTCAGATCAGGAAGAATTGTTGAAATATTTTTCACAAAGTAATAACTGGGTGCCCATTTGTATATGTGGCTGCCATTTCGACTTCGAGTATTGTTATAAATGATTTTTATGTAAAATTGCTCAATTTATATGTTCTATTGACGGTTGAATACAGTTTATGATTAAATATGATTAAATAATTATACGCAATGTGATAGTACCTACTTATACGGTTCTGGTGCTTAAAATAGATCATAGTGTATTCCAGTCTTCCCTAGAGATTGTTTAGGCCCTTTATGGCTTTATAGAGCTTTCCACCTCTTTCTAGGTTACTCCTTACCCGTTTTTATATCTTTTCCAGAGCTATAGTTGAGCGCAGGCAGGTTTAAATAGTGTACCAAACCCCGAAAAGGTCTCTAAACGGTACGAGTTAGCAAATTTGGTGCTAGAGTTTGAACGTCAGCTTAGAAAATATTTTAAAGAGTCACAGATCTGTTGATTTTGTATCCAACCGAAATTCTCATGCAGCGAGCAGAAATCGATTTAAAGAATATAGCCCAGGCAATACAGAACATACGATGACCTTTGCTTGCAAAATTAATGGTAGTTCTGGAAATAGGCTTACATTATGTTTTTTGGGTTGCCGAGTCCAAATTTTTAACTTCCCACCAAAAATTCCCTCCGCAACCCCCCCCCAAATCTTGAAAAATAAGAAAAAAATATGTTTTTTAAGAAACCGTTTTTTGTGGTTTCACGAATAAAATACCTACAATTTTGAAATGTAGATATACAGTATGCAACCAACAACGTCTTAAAAGCTTTTACATACTACACTACGCACGTAGGGGGCGCTGGCGTGCATTGAAGTATGCTCATTGGCGACTGGCGTCTGGCGCACTTCGCTTAACAACTCACGACTTTCGTGTTAGCTCTCCCTTCGCCCGCTTTATATTTCGTTTTAACCACCCCCCTCCTTTAATCTCTCTTATTTTTCAACATCTGGAAGTCAACCCTCAACCTCCAACTTTTCCCCACCTATTTTCAGATAAGTTCAGAATTAAGAACGCATCTATATACCTATTTAAAAAAAATTATCAATGTCCTCGTTTGAGATCGAAGGGACTTCAGCGCATTTTTGTGTGGTAGATCAGTATTCTATTAGCCACTTTCGACTCAACCATCAATAACAGATCTTGTCGAAGGCTACTACATTCACTAACCGCTTCCCACTTTCCGCGTGCACCCGCAATTCGCTTTTAAAGATTTAACTCCACCATCAGTAAGATCGTGTTGGGGGCTACCACATTCCCTTTGACGGTACCCACTTCCGACGTTCCGTTCACCCGCAATTCGCGTTTGAAGATTTGACTCCACCATCAGGAAGATCGTGTCGGGGGCTACCACATTCCCTTTGACGGTACCCCTTTCCGACGTCCCGTTTACCCGCAATTCGTGTTTGAAGATTTGACTCCACCATCAGGAAGATCGTGTCGGGGGCTACCACATTCCCTTTGACGGTACCCCCTTCCGACGTCCCGTTTACCCGCAATTCGTGTTTGAAGATTTGACTCCACCATCAGTGAGATCGTGTCGCGGGCTACCACATTCTCTTTTACGGTACCCACTTCCGACGTCCCGTTCACTCGCAATTCACTTCCATTGGCGACACGAGAAAGAGAGACAGCGATTCGAGATTTACGAAACGTTAAACCGCGTGAGTTCGCAAAGGAAGGTAAAAGGCGCCCGAAGTTGACTACTTCTCGAAGACGCGCGCGCGCGCCTCGCAAAAGGTCGTTAATTTCGCCCCTATGACAAAAAACAAAATTCCGCCACGCAGGAGTTGTGCGCGTTGACAAGATCTTTCCGACGAACACCAATTTCAAAAAGAATCGCGACCAAAACTGTAGTAGAAGATATGAAAAAACTTGAGAAAAACCCTTCACGGTTAGTATACTTACGCTCGAGGATGACGCCCCAGATGTCGCCAACCCCACATCATGTAGCCATGCCCCCTGAAGGTTGACAAAATTCACGGCCCTGTGAGATACACGTACACCGTTTGCACTTTCTACAAGAGTCTTCTACGCTGGGCCCCATTGCTGCCCAGCCCCAGCCAGCCAGCCAGCCAAAGTGAGATTAAAGCTACTTTTTACAATTATAAATTTGCAAAAAATGCACTAAAAAATATAGCACTTTAGTTACTTAAATTAAAATTAACCATTACTTTCGGGTTAACGGAGGGCCACAGCTGAAAAATTAGGTTCATGCACCAAAAAGAGCTTAATGTTTCAAAGTCCGTTTTTAAAGTAGATTGATCCATTGAAGAAGGACAAAAAAGGAAGGTTAGAAACGACTCATCTGACAATTTCTCCGTGTTTCGGAAAGCTGGACCATCAGATTTATTGATTTCCCCCAAAATAATCTCATTCAGCTTGTATGGCACCTTTTCAAATAGCAGTTCGAATTCCTCTGGCCTTCATTTTTTTGTCCTCCTCTTCATCAAAATCTTTGACGGTATCATTAGTCGGCTATTTTTCGCATGATTGTTGCACTCGAGGCACATTATGAACCATTTCAACAACTTCCTTCATAACACGCGCCGCGGCCATCCTTTTTTTTACACCAGGAGAATTAGCTTTAGAATGTATTGGTGGAGCGGAAGGTATAAAGTAGTAACAGGAGATAGTCGTAAGTAGTACCTTTTCCAGCTCCATGTTTGTAGGTTCCATACATTTCCAAGCCAAAGTTGGACTTGGTTGGTACTCCTGAATGAGTGTTCTTGCATGTTGGAGGCAAAACGAGATATATTGTGTTACTGAATTACACAGTTCCTAATGAAACACTGATGTCTAAAACCGTTATAAAATCATGTTGGGTCATCCTAGCAATCATACAAAAGGGAAGTATTTCCAAGCTTTTGCGATAGCTTGTGCGTCTGCATTTGGAACAGAAACAAGCTGACTAAGAAAACAAATCTGGATTCTAGAGAAGACATTTTAATAAATTTGGTTTTTACGTCGCCAAAGTCGAAGACGTAAATCAGTGTGAAACCCGTGTCAAAAATAGTAGTTTTTATCACATGTTGTCTCTTTAAGGACCAAAGGGATTAGATCTTGCTTCAGGAAGTAGAATATTGCGGATTGAGCAGAGTGCACTTAATAGAACTAAAAAAATGTAGTATGTCGCGACAAGTAAGTCACCGATGTGAATTGATTCCATTTCAATTTCTGTATTGACGATGAGACAGTCTACGTCTTCGTCAGTTTGTCGCGCTGTCGACTTCCTTTTAATCATTTCAATGAGGCGATGTTTATTTCTGCTGTTGGATAAAAAATTTGCCTGGCCAACACGGAGTCATAGATTCATCAAAAATTATGTCAACCGATCACTGCTTTCTTTCCCTTCGCAATCTTTCTGCGCTCTTCAGGGGAGGGGATGAACCAAGAAATTGAAAACAGTCAGCGATAAATAGGCAAGGTCGTGAAAGTGGCGAAAACCAAGCAGTTATCGTCTAATGTCCCAGCGTGCGTACGGCATGGCCCATGTTCTGAGACGCGCTAACGCCTTACCCATTCTCCATCCGTCAAAATATCATATGATTTTTTTGTCTCAAATTTTCTCTACTTTTCAAATTTCCAGATAGTTTTTTTCTGAAATACACAAAATAATGGATTTTTTTAAAAACGATATTTTTTCTTTTTTTCAAAATTTGGGGGGGTTGCGGGGGGAATTTTTGGTGGGAAGCTGAAAATCCGGATTCATAGACACAGAAAACATAAAACAAGCCTATGTCCAGAACTACCATGAATTTTGCATCCTAGAATTATACATTTCCTGGACTAATAGTTCCATTTTAGCTTCTACAAGTCAAGCCATAATTTCGAAGCTCGTACACAATAGTGGTTTTCAGTATGGAAAAGAGTATAATTTGGAGGGATAATCATGGGATCTAAATTCCCTCCTCTGCTCCTCTAAAATGGTTAACTGAGCTTACATTGAAGTTTAGACATAGGGACGAGACGTAACATGATCCCCCTTATACAATGGATATCCATTGAAGATTAGGGCCAGTTGTACTACGGTAGTTCAAGCTTTATTTGTAGCAGGCAACTAAACTAACGCTGAATTATCGTTATACAACAGGCCCTGGGGGTCTATTCTGTATATTGTCGTTAATAAACTATATCGTAATGGTAACGATTTGATTTTGATCGACAGCTATATTCAGTATCACTGTTATATGGCGTAGTGGTTTAAGATACGGGCTCTAACCTCACAGGTTGTGAGGTCGAATCCCACAACTTGCCAGTTTTTAGTGGTACAGAACATCTCCTGACTACCATGCTTCGGAGGGCATGTAAAGTTAGCAGTGTCGGCAGTCATACCACGATTGTCGTTAGGTCACACAGACAGCTGTTAACGCGACCTGAAAACGTCTGTACCTAGAGAGTGCCACCCATACGATACGATACGATGTTATACGTCATACAGAATAGAGAAAGTCGTTGCCGAACGATAAACGCTGTGTAACGACATCGACACTTTAATTTAAATTTTCCAGAACTTTCATGATTGACGAACTGTGCTAACTTAGCATGGTTGACTATGCTTATGACTTTCAACAGGACCATTTTAAGACAAATACTTTATCCGATAAGCTATGGCTACCATTTACCAATATGGCTTGTGGTAGTGTTTTAGACAAAGAGTCTGTAGTGAACTTAACCCCAGGTTCTACGCTAACTTCACACTACAAGAACACGGAAATAAAGTCAACCCGGCAACGTTTATAAATGGCCACCCGAATGACTATTCCCTCCAACACTAAACAGGATCCCGCTTAAATTTGAAAAGTGGCATGTGATAAGACATCTAAGGCAGGGCCCCCTTACGTTAGTTGTAGACAACGCTATGACCTGAAGCACAGTAGGAAAGGAACGTAAAATAAAACACTTAAATTGTATAAATTTTGTTTAATAATGATCGCAATTATTAAGATTGTGAAAGCTCAGAAATTTAAGTCCAAAATAAATTGCATTGCAAAAATAAACTTTGAAAATGGTAGTTCACCGAATCAAAATAGAAATAGGCTGGGAAAAAAAAGAACTTACCAATAAAAAAACCAGCCGTCAAATTAATAATAAATTGTGTAGTAAAATGAATTGTTTATAATGATGTGAATGCGTAACATAAAATTATAACATCACAAAAAGTAGCATGTAGACTTCAAGAGGTAACATATAGGCATTGAATAAAATTTATTCAATGATATAGGTTAAAAATAAGTTGTGGGAATTATGGGTTAGGTAAGCAGGTACCAAGTTTCTAAGAAAGGGTGAAATACACAGGATGTAACTCATCTTTGCTGCAATAAAGTCCTGTTAAAAGCAAGATGGAAAATTACATGGCCTTGTAGGCAAATTTAACTAAAACAAAATATGTGGAAATTACGAATCGTAACTCATTTATCGCACATAGATTCTAAACTGAAGAGCTTTGATTAGCGTAATCCCGCTCCAGCAAGATAGGTAACCCGCTCCTGGTTTCGGGGTTTCGAGCCAACAGTTGAATGACGAAGACAATCACGGATATAGGTGTCGTACTTCAAATGGTTACAGTTTTTACCACCCCCGTAACTGCTTCATTCACGGAGAAAAATGTTAGTAACAAACAACAAGTCAGTACATACATCAAACGAATCGGTAATTTCCACAATAATTTCACAACTTATATGAATGTTACTTCAGGGACAAGACCAAGTAATCAACATCAATAAACATAAATTAAGCAAGCATTACATGCGTTCTTCTACGGGCCCTCATTGGCTACCAGCCGGCCAAAGTGAGATTAAAAGCTACCTTTTTACAAATAAATTTGCAAAAATAACGCTTCTCTCCTTACATTAAGAACTATGAAGTGAAGGAGGGTTGTAAGCGGTTGCAACAGGGTAAGGGGTTATTGGCCCTACAATAAGCTGTCTACAACTACTCCCCCTACCCTCTGCCAAATAGAAGACGAATTGGCAAAAGTCATCTATATTCATAGTCGACTATATGAGAACGTTGCCTTATTGATCGACTCACACCCATAGGAATTTTACAGTGCTGCCACTACATCCAGATGCAAATTCCCCGCGACTCCCAGACTTTTCCCGCCTTCTACACGTATTAAAAAAATTAAAAAATTAAAAAAATAATATTAATCTCCAAGGAAAGGTACTTGACATACACTTACAATGTCTAGCATTAATTCAACAATTTATCAACAATTATCGCGTATTGTAAGATTTGGAGATAATGCACACTGATTATTTACGAGTGCGGGATTAGTAAAGTACTTAGGTTTACAGGGACCCAAGCATGTTCCTTGAAGTTTTGAGAAGATGTCGTTATATGCAATATGTTGCTGCCATTTCTGGTGAGTCTCACGACTATATTTGTCTCAATTCTGCACAGAAATGTTTATTCCTCGATTGATATGAGTTCCAGAAGCAAAGATACATGGACATTGGTCATTTGGTGTTGAGGATGGAGCGAATAACCACTTTCTTCAAATCAGAACTGAAATAGCCCATGTCTTTGTTACTTACGATGTCCTCATTGTGTAATCATGGGCAGATTGTAGGAGTGGTCAGAAGGTTTAGTTTAGGCAAATAATGCTTTTCTTAATTGCGTAATTGGGTCTGTCCTTTGACACCCACCCCCCCAAAAAACTGCTTAGGTAAAATAATGTGTTTTTGATATAGATAGTATTCGTGAGCTTTTAGCAAAATTGGACCGTCGCAAAAGGTATGCAGATGATGAGTGAAATTTTAACATCTTAGGATAACATTTTATCATCAGCCTCTTTTTTTAGCTACACTCGCTGCTGCATCTGTTGGAATGCAAGTCACCTGGTCAAGCCCCACTTTACCAAAACTAACCTCGGATTCTTCTCCGATAGGAGTCACTATCACAACTGTAAGTACGATCACTCCTTTTTAAATTATTTGAACACCAATTTCAAGGAAGAGGGATCATGGGTTGCATCCGTTTTTGTCTTAAGCATGACTTTAAGCGCGCCATTCGCGAATATAAGTGCAGAGCTATTGGGTCCGAAATTCGCCTTGCTCTTCTCAGCGTTACCCACTTTCGTCGGATGGATGTTGTGCATTTATGCGAATTCGGCCGCAATTTTGATTGTGGGACGATGCGTCGGTGGGTTTGGGGCCGGAATTTCGGTCGTGGTAAGTAGTCGAAGATGCTTGGGAAATGTAACGCCAACCACCTTTTGCAGATTATTCCAATGTACATTGGAGAAATATCGTCCAAGGACATACGTGGGAGATTGGCATCGCTTTATAACATCGTACGGTTGTGCGGAAACCTCTTTGTTTTGACAGTCGGTCCGTATGTGTCCTACGAAGCTTTGACATGGTCTTGTAGTGGAGTGTCTGTAATTTTTCTCTTCACATTTGCCTTCATGCCCGAGTCTCCTTATTACCGCGCGAAGAAAGGAGACGAAGTGGGGGCTAAGAAAAACTTAAGTCGCTTATCAGGCATTGGTAACCTAGACGACCAGTTGCAAGAAATCAAGTTCACGATAGAACACGACTTCAACAACAAAGGAAGCTGCTTGGATTTGATCACCAAAAAAGATTATCTGTTTCCTCTAGCAATTCTGCTAGGTAATGAATGGGCCTGGCCCTAGCTTCAAATGCTATAGTGCAAGGTTTCAGTTGTCAAGACAACACAGCAGATGTGTGGATTGGGTGCTGTTTCGTCATACTTTCAGACCATTATCGGCGCCAGTCATAGTAGCATCACCCCAGAGGTCTCTAGTATGATTGCAGGATCCGTTCAACTTCCTACTGGTAAAGCAAACAGCGCAAAGTAGGGTGCTAATATTTGGTTGTAGCAATTCTCGCCATGGTCCTAGTGGAGAAATTAGGCAGGAAGGTTTTGTTTTTGACGTCAGGAATTGCGTGTGGCTTAGCTCTTACTGCTGAAGGCGTATTCTTTTACATACAGAACGAAATGCATGGCGACTTGTCCAGTATCAGTTGGCTGCCTACTACCGCCTTAATACTCTACCTAATTATGAACTCTTTTGGTTTGAATGCAATCCCATATGTTTTGATGAGCGAAATGTTGTCGACCAACATGAAGGCGGCCGCTCTTTCGATCACTATGGCGTATGGTGGACTTACGGCGTTTCTCGTCATCAAGTTTTTTATGCCCATTTCGATATCCTGGGGCATGCATGCAACGTTTTGGATGTTCGCGGGTTTTTGCTTCGTCGGCGCACTCTGCACACACTTCGCTCTACCTGAGACGAAAGGACGAACATTTGATGAGATCCAAAGCGAATTGAAAAAACGGGGCAGATCGCTAACATGTGGCCGACAATAAATTAACCCCCACTAACTCATAGAGTAATAAAGGACAAGGAAGCAGGTCTAAATAGTGATCAAAAATTCAATTGTGCAGTGTTCGTAGTTGAGATCAGGAAGAATTGAATGAATAAAACTAGGTGCAAATAATTGTGGCTGCCATTTCGACTTGGAGTGGTGTTGTAGGACAGAGAAACAAACCGATTTCTTGTTCTAAAATCATTCTTAAACCCTCTCTATCTCTCCAATTCCCCACACTCCCTTTTTCTTACATTCTTTTATCCCATTGCCCCATTGTTTCTTTGTATTTGGTACCTTAGATATTTAATTTCTTTTACCTCTTCTGTTCGTTCTCCCTTCATTTCCATTCGCCCTTTTGATACCACTCCCCTTCTCAAAACTCATCCTCGCCTTTTATACATTTAGCTCCATTCCCATCCTTTCTCAATACTCATGCTCATACTCATGCTTCCCATTATTTGCTTCATCTGTTCCGATGATCACTGCGTCGTTCCTGCATGCCAGAGACCATATCTTCCTTCTTCCCACTACGATCTCTTCACCTTGGGCCTATCACTCTTTTCTTTTTTCTCTTCCTTCCCTTCAGTTATTTGGTTCCACGTTATTGCTTTTTTAAATAATCTCCTTTATAGTATTCCACTCCTCGGTATTTCCTCCTATTTCTTCTCCTTGTACCTCTAGTTTCCCTCTATGCAGCGTCACCGTGTTGTTTATCCATAACTGTATCTCTTTCGTCTTTGCGTGTTTTCATTTCTTATCTTCCCTTTTAGACTCAACTCTATCGATTGGTGATCCGATTCTATCCTTTTTCCTATCTTAAATTCATCTATTTCTTCCAGCATTTCTCATTTCCTATTGTGTAATCAATTACTGATCTCTTTCGTGAATTTCTCTTCATATTTTCGTTTAAAATTCTCCAACCTCTTTTTTCTGATAATTCCACTTCTCCCTCTTTGTTGCGCTTTTTATTTTCTATCTTGTGTTCCTTTTACCATCCCTACCATCTTTCCTTTAATTCCAGTTTTGGGATTAAAATGTCCCCCAAGTAATAGCCCCTCTTCTTCCTGTCATCTACCCTATTTTCTATTTTATTTTTGAGGTCCTTTATTCCTTCTCTGTTGTATATTGCTATCACTCTCATTTTCATTCACTTCACTTCCACTCGACTAACCTGTATTCCGTCCTCCTCTTTTGTTTCATCCCCCTTATCCCTTTTTTACTTCTGTTAATATACTTCCTTTTGCTCGTTCCTATTTCTTTGGGATCATGTTCTTTATTTTCTCTTAATTATGTTCTTCTATCCATAATTCTACCATTCCCACGACATCATATCCTTTCACAAACTTCCCATAACTACCCCCGATTCATTCCAGAATATGATTTTTATGTTGCTTCTCTTTTGTTTAGTTTTTTTCTCTTTTCTTTTGTTGTTTGTGTCTGTACTCCTCTGCCCCTCTATCTTTTCCATTGCTGTTCATTCCTACCTCCAAACCGCACCTTTTCCTCTCCTGTTCTGTTCCTCTCTGTTCGCACTAATCCTTTTTCTTTGGAACTCTTTGGAATTCTTCTACCACTAGTTTCCTATATCCCCATCTTACTTTCTTGCACTTTCCTCTATCCCTTTCCGCAACCTATCTAATTTCATGAAGCGAAACCAGGCCTTTTTTTGCTACCCTCCAGAAGCTATATTCTCCTAGTAGCTCTGGTGTCTGGATAGACGTCCCTTGTTTGGCTTCGTCGTGGGTGACGAGCTGGAAGGGAAAAATTTCATGCGTCCGACACGGATACTGAAAAACTTAATAAACCCAATAAACCAGAGGAAGCGTCCCATTATACCCTTCAAACTCTGCTGTAGGTCACCGAGCCTCAACAGTCGACACACCAAACCACGAAAACGCATCTCCGGGACCGAATAACCTCAACATCCAAACCAACCACCTCCGTGATCTAACTCGCACCCAGAGGCCAACTGCTCGAGCTAACTCCGGTCAGGTGGGCAAACGGGTCGGCGAAGAGGAAAAGAAGCAAAGGTCAAATGACTCAACACCGACCCAACCGCCGACAAAGAAAGACAGACCTCAGCCCCAACCAAACGTAGGTGCCAGTATGGCCGAAGCATCCCGCAGTCGTAGATACGCTCTGGGTAGGCTAACGGCGTACCAAGCGGATATGGTACAAAAACACCTGGGTCTTGATCAGCATCGATTCGTTCTAAAAGGCGCCTAAAACTAGACTCTCCACAACTAAAAACTAAGGGAGATGGGTAGTAATATATGGCCGATTCTAAATCTCACTAGATGAAAATCCCTAGAAAAGTCACTAGAATTGAGTGGTTCTGAACTGCGGTAGCGAGGTTTGCGCCTGTGCTACCGTGAATGTCAAGGGATCGAGGTTTGTGCTCGAGATAAAGTATCGGAGGTTTCCGTCCGAGCTAAAGTAATTCGGTTCGCGCCTGAGTCATGGGTTCTTGTCGATGGTAGTGTATACGGCCGATTCTAAATCACACTAGATAAAAATCCCTAGAAAAGTTACTAGGATTGAGTGGTTCTGAACTGCGCTACCGAGGTTTGCGCCTGAGCTACCGCGCTAGTATTCAATGTGAACGTTAATAATATAATGAAGCTGGATAATTTTTGTAAATTTTGAGTGCATTTCCTTGAAAACTAAAGGAGCAGCTACCACCCTCTGCCTCTGTCCATCTATAGAATTAAAAAAATTGTATAAGAACAGTTTCCACTTTCGAGGTGTGAAATGCACTCAAAATCAATAAAAATTATCCAGCCTCATTATATTAATAACGTTCACATTGAATACTAGCGCTGTAGCTCAGGCGTAAACCTCGCTAGCGCAGTTCAGAACCACTCAATTCTAGTGACTTTTCTAGGGATTTTCATCTAGTGTGATTTAGAATCGGCCGTACACCGTGTCACTATGCACTAGGAAAATAGGAAGCAGTAACACCCTTGAACTCGTATGAGTTAAAGGGAAAACAAGTGTTTTATAGTCCGGACTTATATCCCTGTGGGCCTCTGAAAAATGCAAACATTTTCAAAACTCGGATTCTGTTGTCACTGCTGTAAGGAAGTGGTTAGCCTTAGCCGGTTCTGATTTTTACCGGTACGCCATGCATGCTCTTGTTCACCGTTGACAAAAGTGCATGGTGGTAATTATGTGGAAAAAGAACAGTCTGTAACAAAATCCAACCCCGCCGTCATGAGTGCCAAATGCTGAACAAAATTTGCTAATTTTTGGTTTTGGTTTGAGATTAGAAATAATCGCTGAAATGTTTTTTACTAAACAAATAAAGAATTAGGTCCCATTTTTTAGGTCATAATAGTCGATTAATGGGAGCAAATAAATACAAACTCATGATTTGTGCAACACAACATTATTCTTGGGTACTTGTGCAAATGTAGCAATTTTAATATAATTACTCACTTCGCTATTTACATTGCTTGTCAAACAGTTCGTAGTTTTTAAGTGTTACACATCTTAGATATGGTAAGCAATTTTAGAATGATTTTAGATGTTAAGGGTCGGACCCTGTTGGTAAACTTTAAAAATGTCCTTTAATTTTAGGTCACGGTAATACTAGTCGCAGTCGCAATAGCAATTGCTTTCCATCATACCAGCGGCTTTCATTTTGAAGACCACCCTGACCACTTCAGAGATTCGCCCGCCCAATATTTTGATGAAAATTCGGATATAGTGGGTGGCGTTTTAACGCATGCACACCTCCACGCATTAAAGAAGCAAGCCAAACTTCGACGTTTTGCCAAACGAGCCAAATTGAAATCTCACCTCCTCTTTCCATTACTCTTGTCACCGACCCCGCAAGAGTTTGTCGATGACGATATTATTTACGAGGAGCACTCCGATGGCGAGCCGCACCCAAATGACGAGCACCACACCGACTATGCTTCTCCCGGGCCATACCAAGGTGACACGCCGGTCTCTGCGTGGAGCGACGGTCCATACTACGACTATTTCAGGGATGCAGAACCAACGCATCACACGAAAAAGCTGTTCCATGGCAATCCCCACGGGTATCCGGTGGTTTTTCATAACTACGGACCGCCTCCGCACCTTCACGAAGACTTTTCTTCACATTCCGAAAGCCAGCAGTTTTACCACCCCCCTTCTCATAACGCTCCGCATCCGCATCCAAACTCTAATAAGCAAAACACGCTGATACTAGTACCATCAACTGGGGGCACTTTCCAGATATCCCAAGTAGCAGGGAACAACAACGGAATCACTCAATCCCAGGCGGCGCGTGCTGTACACGAAACTCTACTTGCTCCAAATCCTTCCTTGGTAGCGCCCAGCACGTTTCCTTTACGCGGAAATCGAGAATATTGGAGAGCAGCCGCCGAGCCAGACCAGGACAACGTCGGGCCAAGCAAACGGAATAAACGCCAATTAAACGAGTATTTTTACGGGTTCAATCCGTTCCAGCAAGCGCCGTGCCCACATCAGGCGGGCTACGACCCCATTGTGGGCGCTCCCAACGTTGTAAGCGTCAGTCGCAACAGGAAGATCTGGCAAATTCCCGGGCCAGACGAGGCCGACATCAGCGTGGTAATAAAACGTTCCGCGAATAAAAGAAAGAAGCGATCACTTCCGTTCTTGAGACTTCTACTCGACCCTAACGCGCAGATCGACGTGCCCAAGACGTTCGCGCGGATGGGGGCGATAGCTAGGCACTCGGTCGAGAGCAAACACCAGCCCGTCTATCATGTAACGAACGCCATTGGATCCGTAAGGGACATGTTCATGTCCACCTTGAGAGTACCACCGCAAGATTTATTTGTGCCTTCTCAGTACAGCATCGTTGAGAAAAAGCACGACAGTAGGAGGGCTGTACCAAACGAAAGCGATGTGTACAATAAGCTAGGAGGTATGTTGCGCGACAGTATTCGGTCAGCGGAAGATGTGGCGGTGCATGCCGGAGATTTTTTGCACAGCGCCCGAAAAGTTGTGTCAACCTCAAAACATGTAGTACCTCGCTTGGTGGTATCCAGTTTACGTGTACCAGCGTTCCAGCACAAACTGCATCTACCCATCGTGTTAACATCAAGAAGTCACCATGAAAATGCCGAGGCTCGGCACCATTCGGAAACAGACCCCAACTTTGTAGGTGTTAATCACGTAATGGAAACGTTGGGGATAGGACGCAAAGATTCTAGACATGCCGAGGACATTTCCGAAACCTTAGAAGCGTTGGATGGTGCTCAAAGAGCTGTTGGAGCTAGATCTCTCAAGGAGTTTTTGACCCACCTGAAAAATACCAAACCTCATGGATTGAAAAGAAGCGTTGACGAGTCCACCGGCCAAAAACCAGTACTACTACAAGGGGTCACGCGTGTTTTTCTAGCCAATCCGGACGCCGACCTCGAAATGAGAGACAAGCGCCAAGTGGGCGAGCCATTCCTTGGCGCAATTAATCCGGAAATGTTTCAGCGGCTGTTCAACGCGTCGCTCGACTCAGTGCGGCAAAAAATTTCGCCACCTTTCCACGATGGGCACCTTGACGAGGAAGATGTCGACCATCGAGTAGGAATCGGAATGGAAATGGGAGGAGCGCTCATTGAGCCTTTTATGGGAAAACTGGACATGGATGAAATCTACGCGTACCCTTACGAAGATTCTTATGACGATGAATACGAGTATTGGTAAAAGCAGGTTATTTATTTCCTCAAAATTGTTCATCCTGATCTAAAATGTAATATACGTTAAAACAAACCCTTAATTCCTAAGTTATCACAGTTAGTTAAAGCCCAGAGTTAAGTTCACTTCCTAAATAAATCGAAGAATGGCTTGAAGAAGTTGTCAAACCCCTTATTTACCCTCTTCACGATTTTGGAAGGATTAAAGTTAGTTACATCCTTCGAATTTTGATATCGATCCAGCGCAACATCATCATGGTCGTCTTCATTGACCGGTTTTTCGTCCTCATAATCGTTTGATTCGGTCGAAGGTTCTTCAACCTGGGCCGGTTCAGACACGGTGTCTTGAGGTTTGGGTTTATTATTATTGCTACCAAATAATCCCAAATTGGGCCAACTAAATAGACCGAGACCGAAAGGACCGTCTTTATTAACATTCGACTGGTAGTGAGGACCAAACAATCCGCCTCCATGGTGGTGATTGCCGGGAAACCCGCCACCATGTTGATGATGGCCGGGCAACCCGCCACCATGTTGATGATGGCCGGGGAATCCACCGCCGTTGTGAATTCCTTGGGGTTTAATTGGGTAGTAACCACCATCGCAATCCGTTAGGAACGTGTTGAATACGTTAATATAGGAATAATGCCAGTCAAAGAACGTTCTCCCATGACCGTTTTGGCACGGCTTTTTTTTCTTGCGATGATGAAGGCGTCCTTCCTCGTTTAAATCATTATAATTATCTTCTATTGGGACAGCGACAAAGTTCTCTAAGTAAAATATGAACACCATCACGAAAATCACCTAAAACAAATTGTCAATAACAAAATGCAATAATGAACCAATCTACCTTCATCGTTGCACTTGATACACAAACAAATCGTTGGTAACGGTTCCACTTACGAATGAAGAAAGCATTCCGTGAGCAATGAAAGTGAGAGTAAACGGTTATATAAAACGGAATTTTAACGTAGTGCGGCTAGCCATATTGGGTAATACGTGGGTGCTTCCCATGTTTTTTCTGGTACGCGTAAGTTTCCTTTTTTTTAGTTTATCAACCTTTCGCATCGACTGTAATGAGACTAACAAATGCCGTGTCAAGTGTAATTACATCACGCGATAATTGTAGGCAAAAAAATTCCCAAAAAAGGTCCTTGCACCAATTTTTGTTTATTATATATTATACTAATTACATTTTTTTTTTATTTTAAACGACGTACCATAAGCCAAGTAATAACGAATTAGTGTTTTGGTACCTATACATTATTATTATTACTGGTACAAATTGGGTCGCCTGAATGGAGGTTGATCCAATTTTAATAATCACTACAACATTATGTTGCTTAGTTGCTATTCACATTTCATTCGGACCTGTTCGGAAAAAAATTACGAGAGGAAAGGAGCTCAAATATTTTTCCGGCACGTTTTTGGAATGTTGTATGAGGAACTATCTCAAATCTTTTAGTGTTTAAGATACACGTCCCAGGAGTTTATAAAAAACATTCCCTAAGACCTCAACAGAGTCTTAAAGAGCCCGTAAGTCCTAGGTTCGCTTCTATTTTTTAGCGTTTTTTCCAACTCATGTTAGACGGTGCTATTATGGCGACTTTCTCCGTCCGTTCGTCTGGCCGATAGTTTTCAGGATATTTAGATCGTTATTTTTGAATTCTTTTTGAATAGCTCTGGCATTTGAACCAAGAAAAATCTTGAAGATTAATGCGCGCATGCGTAGACTGCGCAATGTCATCTTTCTTATTTATAGAGATATTTTTTTGAAATTTTAACCACAGATGCTACTAAGCAAACATGTAGCATACTTATAACGGGCGATCAAAAACGAGTTGTTGTCGAGTCGCCTTTGGAACTTCAAGTTAAATACGATTTCCCACGTAAACAAAAATTCCAAAGGTGACTCGACAGCAAATCATTTTTGATCGCATAGTATAGGTACTTCCTGTATAAGGAGCGCAAGCATTTTCCTTTGCCTTCCTCAATTCATGGAAAATGCACTAAAGTTAGATTTGCCCCCTATAAAGTTTCCTAAATATGGCGTTTTTGATTGTTGGTTTTAAAATCGTGGGGAGATATTTAAAAACTAAGTTAAATTATTCAAGAAATTGGATTGTCCATGGAAATTGCTTTTGATAAATATCACTCAACATGTTTATCTATGAATTTTGAACTTCTTTTGATTTTTTATAAACATATACATATTTCGGAATCAGGATTTTTGTCTCTTTTAGATGACCTCATTTCCATCATCTAAAAGAACAGAAAGAGTTCCCTAAAGAAAGTCTTTTGAGTTTTTACATATCTCCCCGAATAACGATTTTAAAACCAAAAATCAAGAACGTCAATTATGCTATTTTTCGCCATATTTAGGAAATTTTAGAGATGGTGTAAATTTTTTTTATTGGTTTTATGTAGGCATAACTTTTTGTCGCTTAAACCAACTCTCTATCTATGCTAATAAGCGCCCGAGATATCTGTACTTACCACGAAATTTTGAACCGAATCGGTCCAAGAGTTTGGGCAATTGTGTTCAAGGACGGGCAGAGGGACACCATCAACTTCTCTATACGGCTTTGCTCTGTCGCTTAATAAAAATCCTAGATACGGGCAACCTCTGTAATAAAAGATTTTTGTTAAAGAATTTTAAGAAACAAAATGATTACAAAACAAACGCGGTATAGGCGAGACGCCCGAGGAGGCGTAAATAAAAAACAGCAAAGGCGACAAAGATCAGATGCAAACTACAAGATAATTACGATTATGTCGACGGAGGAGGAAAGGGTTGTGAAGTAGGCAACCTACCTCTGCGCAAGGCTCAAATGAGGTTTAGAAAAGGGAGAAGAAAGATAGGCTAATACATACACTGGTGAAAAAATAGATAGGAAAAGGAAAAAAAATAGGATGGCAATTAATTCGAATTAAAGTGAATCAATTTGAATTAGCGTGAATTGACTTGAATTAACGTGAATTAACATTAATTTACATGAATTATTTTGAATTAACGGAATTAATTTATTAATAATATAATATTAATTAACTATTCTACACGAGGAGCAAAGAAAATAAAAACTCCCTATTTAGATCTAAAAATAACAGTCGGCAGGGTGGATTTATACAATATCGTTCCTGATTGTAGCAAACCTTACAATTGTTCAAATTTAAAAGTGTCGTTAAGGCCCACTTATTAAGCCATTCTTTTTATAAAGTAAACTGAACATTTACATACGCCTATGGAGAACTATTCAATAATTTTAATGATATTTATTTATTTCATTGTTTGTTTACTTTACTTTTGTGTACCTGTGTAGTAGTATACTCTTTAGTCATTTACTTTTACCTTTACTTGTTAATATTTGATCTCTGTTTTGTCTCTTTTTAACTAAAATTTTAAATTGTTTATAATGTAGATTATTCAGTTTCAGCCTCATGGTTTGACTAGCTTTTATTTATTGGGAATTTTAAACTGTTTTTAATTGTATATTATTCTTTTTTATCTATGCATTGTACTAATTTATTATCTACTATATTTACTGACGTGTCAAAACCTATATACAGACAAATAAAGATTGATTGATTGATTGAATAATTAGAATTAGCACGAATTAGAACAAGAGAGGGATAATTAATAAATAAACAAATAAATAAATCAATAAATAAATAAATAAATAAATAGACTGGAGGACAGAGCTCGCTAATAATAATATGCAAATTTCTAACATTCTAACCTGAAAACGTTTAAGTAGATACAGGAACCAGTAAAAAGGGCTAATGACCTGAGAAGTTGATGCCCTCTAAACAAAAAAAAAAAAACATGGAAAGTGAAGACGGCTTGTTCGCTTTATTATTAACGAGCGACAAAAAGCGAGTTCATGATTTTTGACTTTCTGTCTTCCGCTCGTCCGTCCCTCCGTCTGTGTCTACATGATAAGTCGCGAACGGTTTTCAAATTTTCAATTCTGGTTTTAGTAATAGGAAGACAATGGTCAAGGGGTTAACTGATTAAATTTTTTGTCAATACCTGTCAAACGCTCGTTGTCTATATTGGTTCAGTTTATTTTGCACTGCATTGTGGAATTAGGAATATGATCTCATGATTCATCGAAGGTATAATTTCAATTAGAGTTCTTGATATATCTTTTGATAGATATGCTATTTAAAATCAATTTTGAAGATGTGGACGCCAAACTAAACTATATCGAAATCTTAATTACAATTTACCAAATATGCATTTTAGAGGAAAATTCTATAATAAATAGTGACATCATTTGTGAAAGGCGATCTCCATTATTAAGTAGAATTCCAAAATTTCACCGAAAGTATTGTGTATTTCTCAGAGCCAAAATTTACAAATTGAAAGATGTCAATTAAAATCTTGTTATGGTCTTGCTGGCGCCATTATACCTATTTGACAGTCAGTTGATAAATGTATCTGACAGAGAAGGTTGTCAATCATATAAGCCTAACTGAAACTTGAAGAAACAGCTCTAAAGGATCCAGAATATTGGTCAGAACTTAAAATTTATACACAACTTATCTCCTATACAGGGTTTGTGTAAAAAGAATCGGGAAAAGCTTTATAAAAGTAGATTTATCTTAACTACTAAATATAAACATTCTTTAAAGTTCGCCTCTCAACACACTTTTGCCAGAGTTTTTTTCACGACTCGAAGGCTTCTTGGTAAGCGGATTCAGAAAGGTCCGTCAGGGTACGCGTTCAAACCTCTTTGACGACACTGGTCCCATGGTGTTATCCTTTCAGGAAGGATTTTACTTTAGGGAATAGAAAAAAGGCTGCCGAGGCCCAAGGCTGGACTGTAGGAAGTCGTCGCGATGCCGTTTTGCGTCAAATAATCGCTCAACTTGGAGCAGGTGTGGCTGGGTACACTGTCGTGCTGCAGTGTCCCATTGCCAGCGATACCTGGTCTTACGCGGTTAACCCTTCCCTTCAGTCTTCTAGGTAAAAAGGCCGTTTACTGTCTGCCCTCCTATCCCCCAGGTACAAAATCGTAGTGGACAACCTCCTTGCCATCGAAGAACACGATTAGCATGGCTTTCACTCTGGATGTGCTCATTCGAGCCTTTTTTGAACGAGGTGATGCCGTATTCAAAAGCCCACCTGTGATTACGTTTTCCAAAAAGCCGTGATCTTCTTCAACGCGTCACAAGCAGACACTTGCCTCTGCTTTTGGTCGTCCCCGTCAAGACTTTGGTGACGATTTTGGCGCAGATCTTCCGCGTCGCCAAATTTTCCGTGATAATGACGGTCATCTTGTCAATACCAATTAGATCTGCGTTCATGCGCACACTTAACAGACGATGGTCTGAATTCAGAACATCACGCACACGGCACAAGTTGCCCTTATCGTCGGTTCTTGACGTCGACGGCCGTCCAGCGTGGGGACGGACAACTGACGGTTGGCACGTTTCGAAAGTCAGCGGACCAACTCGGAGCAAGCGCGCTGCGACGTACACTCACGCCAAAAAAAATCGTTCCCGATACTTTTTATACAAACCCTGTACATCTCTAACACACAAAAAGCCTTTTAAATCTTTTAATATAAACGTTAAGGTTCTAGAGGTCGGTCTTTATGTTTGAGTAAAATTTATCCGATTTAATTTATTTAGACAGAAATGGCGGTTTCGTCAGATAAGTTTAGTTAGAACATGAAAAATTGGTCCTAAGGGAGTTTTAACTGTCTACATTCTACGACTCTCCTAACAAGGAATCCTCTATACATTTTGTATTATAGTCCGGCACCTTAAAAATGATATTTGCAGAACCTTTGAAACCCTTGAGGAGCTATCCAGAACTGTAACCATCACAAGAAGTAGGTACTTAGTATTTGTTGGTAACATTTAGTGTTAGGGAAATTTCTGTGAAAAAGCGA